TTCGTGATCCCTGGCACAGGTGACCCCATGTGATCACAGGGCAGTGTCACCCCCTGTGTCCCCAAGGTGCTGGTGTGTCCCCATGGCTCCCGGGTGGCTTGGGGTGCCTATGTGACCCCAAAGTACCCCTGACCTTGTGTGTCCCTGAGTACCCTTGAGCTTCTATGACCCTGTGCTAACGTGTGTCCCCAAGGTGTCCCCATGGTACCTGTGCCCCGTGCGCCCCGTGGCAGCACGTTGGGACCATGCAGGTGCAGGGGCTCAGGGGGAGCCCCYCCGTGAAGGGCTGTGAGCACCCCCSTTTTCTGCAGGTGTCCCCAGCGTGRCACCGCCAAGGCCACCCACTGCGCGTCCCGCACGTGGCCTTGTCCGCTGCCCTCGCCACGGTGCATTGGTTGTGCACGACTGCACGGTGTGTGCAGCCCTGGCACTGTCCCGCTGCGGGTGTAGGGCAGGTGCTGAGTACGGGTGCTGGTGCACGTGCTGTGCACGTGGGTGCACACTCGCAGGCGGGTGTTGTGCACAGATCCAGGTGTACACACACACTGCGTACATGGGTGCACACTCGTCGGTGGGTGTTGCGTACAGGTGCTGGTGTGCACACACACTGTGCACATGGGTGCACACTCGTCGGTGGGTGTTGTGTACAGGTGCTGGTGTGCACACACACTGTGCACATGGGTGCACACTCATCGGTGGGTGTTGTGTACAGGTGCTGGTGTGCACACACACACACACACTGTGCACATGGGCGCACACTCGTCGGTGGGTGTTGTGTACAGGTCCAGGTGTGCACACACACTGTGCATGGAGCCGTAGCCCCGTGCAGCTGCACACCTGGCACTGCACTGTGAACCTGTGCAGCTGTGACACTGGCACTGCACCCACGCAGCTGCTGGCACTGCTCCTGTGCACTCGTGTCGCTGGCACTGTCCCTGTGTGCATGTGCTGCTGGCACTATGCCATGCAGTCATGTACTCATGCCAGTGACACTGCTCCAGTGCACTCGTGCCGCTGGCACTGTTCCCATGCACTCGTGCTGCTGGCACTGCACAGCGGTGCCGCCGGCGCTGCTCCTGCACTCGTGCCGCTGGCACTGTTCCCATGCACTCGTGCTGCTGGCACTGCACAGCGGTGCCGCCGGCGCTGCTCCCGTGCACGCTGCTCCCGTGCT